CGTTAAAATTTCGTCGGAACGAAGTTACGGAAAAATCAATTAACAAACGGAGACGTAACATATTTTTTATAAGGGTCTATTTATTCTTGCCACTGAAAGAAAATCATGGCCAGGTGGTTAGGGCGTTCGACTCGCATTCCGAGGGTCGCGTATTCGAATCCTCGTCACACCAAACATGCTCGCCCTCTCAGCCGTGGGGACGATATAATGTGACGGTCAATTCGTTGGTAAAAGAGTAGCCCAAGAGTTGGCGGTGATGACTAGTTGCCTTCCCTCTAGTCTTACACTGCTAAATTAGGGATGGTTAGCGCAGATAGCCCTCGTGTAGCTGTGCGCGAAATTAAAAAACAAATAAACAATATTTTCAAAAATCAAACCTAAGCTTTTTAAAAAGAAAATAAATTCATAAAATATTTTTTACCTGTCGAAATATAGAACTGGGAAACAGAGAGTAGGATCTTTTTTTCAAAAACCCGGGCATGTGGGTTATCATAATTTGAATTATAAGTATAATTTGGATGATAATAATGTTAAGAGTGTTATGAAAGAAAAGGATCTTGGTGTAATGATTGATCAGTCTCTTAAGCTATCCAAACAGTGCGCTGTTGCTAATGGTTGGGCAAATAGGATTTTAGGTTGCATCTACAGAAATATTGAATACAAGTCTAAAGAGGTTATAATTTCATTGTATAGGTCACTGTTAGGCCACATTTGGAGTATTGTGTTCAGTCTTGAGATCTTTACCTTAGAATGGGGGACATTGAATTGTTAGAAAGGGTTCAGAGTAGGGCTACTAGAATGGTTCCTGGGATTGTCATACGAGGAGGTTAAGATCTCTGAAACTGTTTTCTCTTGAAAAAAGAAGAGTTAGAGGGGGTTGAGTTGTTTCAGATTGTTAAGGGAATTGATGTGTCATCTTTTCCCATACTTTATGGTGAGAATGGTAGGACTAGGGGATACAAATATAAATTTTGGCAATGTGGAAGTCATCTTCAGCTAAGACAGTTTTATTTTTCTAACAAGGTGATTGGCCTTTGAAACAGTTTGCTTTCAGATGTTGCGGAGGCAGTAAATTTAAGTTAGTTTAACAGAAAGCTTGATAACTATATGAATGATAAAGACTGGCTTGGAGGGTTTTTAAAAATTTTTATTTAGTAGTTTTAGCTTAATTTGGAGGATGGGACTACCTAGATGAACAAATAGGTCTCTTGTTGTTCCTAAACATTATATTATGGTGCCTTTACTGGATATTTCGATGCAGAGATCTCTATGAAAAAGCAAAGTGTTGTTAGTCTCTGGAGAAAACTTTTTCTAGACTGGGAAGACAACATTATATACACAAATAATGATGATATTCTTCTCAGGATAGGTGCAATATTCACATCACCATTGTTCATTCTCAGTGAGAGCAATTCCTTCAGGTATCACTTAACCTGATGGTTCTGAACATTATAATGTCTTTAAATTCTGTACTTATTTTCTGATGGGTAAACTTTTGTTTGTTTGTTATTAAGCAAAAACCAACACAGTTGGCTATCATGCTGTGCCAACCACAAGTATTGAAATCGTTTTTTGTTTTTGTTTTTTTTTTTGCGGTGGGAGGCCAAAGACTTACAACTGAGCTATTGGGGGATTTAAATAATTGTGTAAAAAAAAGCAAAGTTAACTGTGTAAAAACCATACATACCACATATGTGGTATTTGTAAGTAAAGAGTGACACATAGATAAATCACAACTGCAATAACCACATGAATGCTCTGATTTTGCTGGCACTGATGTTTAAAGAACGAAGGCCTAATTGTTACGGCCTAAATTGACTAATGTTGGAGATGATTTTAAGATGAAAAAAAAAACGTCTCAGATACACACACACAGTTGAACTTGAAATAATACTGTTTATTTGACTGACTACAAACTGTCTGACAACTAGGACAAAACTGTTTCAATGACTAATATGTTTCTCTAGCTTTAGCCAATGAAATACAAGATTGCAAAATGACTACTCCTTTCTCATGGGAAAGTTAGCCAAGCAACAAGTAAATGCCACTTTTCACTCTTAGAATGATTCTTGATATTTAAGGTCAATTTTCTGAGCTGTTCATTGGTTATCTTGACAGACTTCAGTTTTGCAGCAAGTGGAACAACTTATTCTATAGTGCTCCTTCTTCAGTTAAACTTGATGTATATCTATTTACCAAACTGATCAGAAGACAAAACTTTTACTTTCTTTGGAGGCACACTTGCATAATATAATCAGCAAGTTTCACCTTTTTTTATTCTTAGCATTCAGTTTATGCATTAAACTTTTTCCTTGCGAGTCAATCTACAAGTGAAATCAAAACACACTAATGACTGGTAGTTATTCAGGCCTCTATGTAAATAATCTTGTTCAGTGTAACTAACTGATTCTATCAAGTAGATGGTTCATTATTCATCACACTTAATCCATTCATGAGAAGAATAAACACAAATTGGACATGGTTGATACCTACAGCATCATCTCAAAATAACTATTTTCTTAAGGTTTTCATACACTGATTTACTGGAAAACGTACAGGGAAAAGCTATGGTGATGCCTCATTTAAAAAACCTTATTCTCTAAAAATGATGAGGTAGAAGTTATTTGATTAGAAGTATAAAATTGTCATACACTTGAATAGGATACATGTAAAAAGTTTTTATTGCTAGACTAAGTCATTAATGGTGCTTAATAGTTTGTTTTTTTTAGCTTTTTATTGTTGAAATTGTGTATCAATTTGAAAAGTTTCATTTAAATAGGTTGGTGTTTTATGTTCATTGTACTGGAGATAACAATTACCTTCTTCATTTATCTAATATTATCTATTTAATTCCTTAACTTGTTCTCTCTTTTTCTTTTGTCAAATGTTTCCATTTCTCTTTTAAACTCTTCTGTTTACCTTTCAGGTTCTTCATGCAAACATTTCAAGATTAAAAATATAAATAAAGTATAGCTTTTCCAGTCTACCATCATTCAAGCTGTCTACTACACTCTTAACATTAATTTTAAGTATTCAGCTTTTATATTTATTTTATCCACAAAGACTTGCAGGTGTTTTGATGAGTAAAATTTAAATGATTATCACAAATTGAAATTTCCTAAATCAAAACAACTCTAGAGTGAAACTCATATTTCCTCTTACCCAATATATACAGGTACATTCTTTGAAAACAGATATATGTACAGAAAGAAAACCAGTAGTTAAGTCTATCTTATATGATGTTAATAACCTTCTTTAGAAAAAATACATTACTGTGGTTACTTTAACCAAACGTCAACTGTAAACAAAATTCTCCTAATTCTCACTTGAATAGGAAACTGTTAATAAAAACTTCTTTGGACAAATAGTTTTCTTATACATCTAGAGTTTAAATCAACTAAAAACTACATTGTGTCGCTTTAACTGTAATAATGTATCGACTAAAATCTGGTAATATAAAATAACATTCAATGATTTATGTATATCACAAAATCACTTTCAATGTTATCGCAAATTCTTTACATGATAAAAAGATTAGGTCTATCCACACTGTTGTTGGATTTTACTGATTTGTATTCATGGCAAAGCTGCTAAGGCTATTTATTACTATCCCTACTTTTGAACTACTGATCAGAGGGAAAGCAGCCAATCAGCAGTACACTAATGCTAAGCGATTCACTGTCACACTTATAAGGTATCCACAGCTTAAAGTGCAGGGAAATATAGATATTTACTTTAAGTTTTGAAAAGTTTATAACTAGTTATATTTGTATTAGGTTAGTTTAAACTACATTTATATTTCATTTAGTTTATTCAGAATTACAGTTTTGATTTAGATGCTGTGTAATCTACATAACATCAAACCATATTTAGCAACTGCTTCAACTGTAGTGTCTTGTCATACTTACTATATGAGTAAAAAAAAGTGGCATTACAAAAATTATAACATGTTTCGGTTTCAAATTATAAACCTGCAGTTAACTGCTTTTCTAAAGATCTAACCAACAGTTTTGAGTTTAAAGTTATTTGTATAATTCAAGATATATATCAATCAACCATTAAGCAGCTTCAGTCTGTGACCCTGACATCGTATCATAGTCATTTAAAAGTTAATTTATTTAGCAGTTTGCCAACTTTCATAAAAAGTATTCATATTAAGTCAAAGACTCTAAAAACAGAATTTTGTCAGCTTGAGGCGAGTACATTGTTGATAAATAAATCAATGAAAAAGAAAAGAGAACAACTGAATAACACAATAACTTATTTTTACTAGAACACACAAAGAGCTAGCTTCTAATTTTATAAATACAACTGCTAGCTTATTTATGATGAAGTATCGTTTGCGTAAATCACTGAATGTATGCAATTTTCATATATTCAAGATTAAGCATTTCAGTATATAATAATACTTACAGGTATGGAAATATAAAATTATAAAATTTATTATAAATATTTATTTTGTACTGTTAAAAAAGTGGTAATTATGCTCAACTTACTTTTATGAAATCCTATTTTAAACTTCTTATACTAGTTGACCTCAAACCTTCCAATGTTTACTTACTGCACATCTAAATGTACCACTCTACATTCTTAATATTATGCTAAAAAGCTGGCTAGGAGGGCTGACAAAAAAGTCAGTAACCTCTAAATTTTTCAATTTATCATTTTATTTGTTATTCAAATGCAGATCAAACATAACCCATAAGTTATGAAGCTGCTTGTTGAACTGCAAATAAAAGATTCCTTTTCAACCCTTTGTATAAAATGAACTGCTATATGCTCTGGAAAATCTTTGTCTTGAGATAGTCGGCCAAGAGGTCTCTGTGGGATTGACTAATAGAATCCAATTCCATATAAGGGAGCTAAAAAAATAAATCAATCAGAAATTAGATCATGACATTGTTGGTAATATGAAAAAGTACCCCTAAAATTAAACTAATTTTTTTAACAAATTGTATTCAAACTGACATATGCTAAGTTGTTACATGTCTTCCAAACCTTTTTCATTTCTCAATTTTGATCCTATAGTTTTACTGTTACACCATCTTCAATAAACTTACAGAAAGTTATCACTTCCATTAATGTCTGAGTTCCCAGCCTGGCACCAAGAGAGAAATGTGTCGCCAGAGGAATACAAAAAGAGTAGAGATCACTAGCTAAGCTTTAAACAGGTAAAAAAAATAAAAAATCTGTTAGCTGCTTCAAGCCGAACACAACAATGATCTAGTACAACGAATTCAAAGAAACTGTTTACTTGGCAGCCCAAAAGGAAATAAACGTGTCCAATAGCAATGTCAGAAAATTAAAAACACACCTTTAAAGAGATAGAGGCATGGGAGGATATGTTATGTAAGCATCACAAAGATAACGATATTTCAGAAAAGCATAAAGAAGGACTGTTCATATTTTATATTCTGGCTTGTTAATGTCCATAGTGTGTTTCTAATCAGTCATACACACTGAAACCCATGTAGGGTAAAAATAAAAGTTAACGTAGGGAATTCAGAGGGCAGATGTGTTATGTGACACAGGTTAGTAAAGATCGAGAATTTATTTCAATATTTCTTTTTTAAATTAAGAAATTAACTAATAAAAAAATGTGAATTATAAACTGAATTTTGATGCTAAGCGTATTGACATATGCTGAACACAACTCTGTCAAAAAGTCATGACATGCACTTTTTGGCTCTACTGTATGCATAGAGTTAACACTAAGATTATGGATATCCTTTCCTGCATGTCACAAGGTTTTATTGAGTCACAATTTAATTGAACAGCTTTGCTATCAGTGTATGTCAATAAAACTAGTATTATAATCTATGTTATAATTCAAAGGTTTATATTATTTATGCATTAATTCCTATATATATAAAAAAAAACTAAAATAATTTCTTAAACTTCATTTTTGTTGTCACATGACATACGAGCTTTCACAAATCTTAACTTTTGGACTCTACAACCAGAACAAGTAATAAAAAAGTTTTTTGCAAAAATTAAATAAGATATAGGGATGGCAAAGCCAAAAAGTATAGAAACAAGGTAGAGATGAAAATAAAAATTACCACACAAGTAGCCAAATATTTCCAAAAATAACTTTTATCTACTACTTAATGTTGAATTCCTGTTAGTTGCATGAATTAAGGTTTGGGTAAAAGCATTTAAACTGAATAGTGCTATACAGTCTTAAAGTGGCTAATAACCATAAGCTTGTAAAATTGACTCAGTACTTACTGGCTATTTATGTGAGAATTTTTGTATGGTTTTGTGTATTTATCACTACTTTGTTTCTGTACTTTTTGGCATCACCATCCCTACATCATACTTAATTTATTATTACTTGTTTTCCTTGTTTTTTAAACAATTTCATTGAAGTAGGTAGATAAGTGAACACTTGTTTTATTTTTATAATCCAATGGTAACAGTGTGGTGCCATCTAGCGTTTCGAAATGAAACATGGAAATAATATATGCTTATAAACTGAACTCACTTCTAAGTAGTAGTTTTCCTTTTTATTATTTCCCCACAAAAATACGTATGGTACAAGAACAGAATAATATCACTGTTATACAATCTGTGAAACACTTAATAATGGTTATAACTCAACTTTAGCAGTTATTTGTAAGCATCGTAGAGTAATAGATTGAATGCAGCAACCATAATTTTCTCGGCCCATCCCCACAAATTAAACACTTCTGTGCTTAGTGATAGCTTGTTCCCAAGTACTCTTAAAATTCTTCTCTGTCATACTAAAGCCATTGCAAAAATTTTACTCTTTTTTGGTTAGTGTGAGAAAAGAAAAATGAACACTTTGGCTCTTTAGCTAGTTCCCAGTTCTCCACTTTTCAATGATATTGGGAGTCTCACAAGCTGTGAAATACTCGATAATGGCAATAAGGTACTCAAATAAGGCTATAACTCATCTTTAGCAGTTATTTGTAAGCATCATAGAGTAATAGATTGAATGCAGCAACCATTTTTTTTTTCTCAGCCCATCCCTATGTACTATGCACTACCATGCTTAGTGATATTACTACAAGTACAGTTAATAGCTCATTTACACATCCTTCTTTGAAATTCATTAGGGTTGTCAATTCTTCCGTGCCACAAGCAATAAATTTTGCTAACTCCCAACAGATGCTGCTCCCTCCTTCTATACCTAGACTTGAGATTCAGAAGCCACATGTACTTAGTTAATGTACATGTTTATAACCAATCGAAAGTACTCATTTTGATCTATGTAATCCTGCCAGTTTTCTTAAATTATTGATGCCATTACTCCATTATAGAGCTTGAAGTGTGATGATCAAAGCAATAGTCCACAGAGAAATCTATTTTTTTTAGACCCACATATAGCTTAGTTTGAGAGCCAGGTAAATTAGTGGTTTTTTGTGGTATCAATCTAGTAATTATAACTACTTTGGTATTTCAAAACACATATAGAAAATCTGAAAAAATTAATGTCTACCTCCTCCTTGTGTGAGATCCAATGAGGGCTAGCGAGTACAATGCAAGAGTGAAAAAAAAAAATTTTTTAACATCGTTAGTACTAAAGATCATTGTTTTCTAAATACGTTTAGTAACTGTTCTTTGTAAGAATCTATTAATACACAGTAATAATAATATATATATATATATATACCCACATGTCTGAAAAGTGTGGTAACCAAAATGTCACTGTGGGATAAGTCATGTCCAAAACATCTGCTACTTTGCTCTTTAAAGCACCTCACTATCGTCCACGAAAATAGTAACGGCACCAGAAGAGAATTATTGCCTTATGTTCAACGAATTCCTAAGTTTCTTGCAAAAACTCTCAAGCAAATAATTTGTTAAAATACTTAATTTAAAAAAAACTCTGATATTTTTGTGGACAAAACCCTTGTAATGTTTACTGCTAGTCTAAAAGATATGCATACATTATCAAAAATTATAGTATGACTAATCCTGTGGTTATGCGTTTGGCCCTTTTGCACATATCCCATAACCTTAGGGTTAATACAGATAGAGATGAATGTTTTGTGCAGTCTTGGAATATTTGACAAAATCTTTTCAGCAGTGACTCAAGGCTATAGCTCTCAGTTCTGTGGAGAGGTGAGTAATGATGTTTCTCAAACATGGACTTTATGGGACTAATACATAATTATAGGTTAAATATTTGTGGATTTCTAACAATGTATGTATGCATGACGTTGCCAATGCCAGATCAAGTATGAATCTTGTAAAAAAAAAAGTACAAAATGGTTAGTGAATGACAAGCAGTTTGGATTTAGCATAAAATTTTGAGAAAATCAGTTAGTATACAAAAATATTAATTTTAATATAAAGGATACTACCACTCTCAAAATTAAAATGTAGAAATAGTAAATACTTTTGACAGAAATTTTATTCAACTAACCTGAGTGCATGAAATGAGAATGCTGAAATGGCTGTTGGGAGTGTCATTGAAAGGGAAGGGAATGAATAAATAAAATAAAGAAATAGCAAGAGTCTGCGGAATCAAGGAAAAAGGCAAGAGAAGTAAGACTAAAGTGGTTCAGTCACATGAAGACATGAGAAGAAGAACAAACAAATAAGAAGAGTTGCCAGTAGCCACAAGAAAAGACAGGAAAGGCCAGTAAAGTACTGGAAGGATGGGATCAAAGAGAACATGAATTACAGTGGAATTGCAAAAGACCTGGCAATGAAGAGAGACGATTGGAAGAGGGCAACACATCTGAAGGACGGTGACCCCTACTAAATGGAACAGTGAAAGAACTTGAATGAATATATCCAAGTATGACTAATGTGCCTACTTACCTAAGAATGAATGCAACATACAAAATTCTCTTTGTACACTTTATTAAAAAACAGATTTATAAACTTACTTCCACAACTGTATAGCCCAGCATTTCCAAATGTCTTAACATGACACCTGTTTTCCCCAGCTTCCAGTTAACATTGGCACAGTAGTGATGAGGTTCAAGAATTACAAGAGCCACTCTATATTTCAATAAAATGTGAATACGTAAAGCCATAGTATCATGAACTTAAAGCAACTAAACACTTTACCTTTAGATACAGTTAACTGAGATAAGACAAACTTACTCAACACAGGAAGATGCAAATAATAACTGTTATCATGAACCTAAAGCAACTAAAAATGTTACTTTTAGATACAGTTAACTGAGATAAACAAACTAACTCAACACAGGAAGATACAAATAATAACCGTCATCATGAACTTAAAGCAACTAAAAATGTTACCTTTAGATACAGTTAACTGAGATAAGACAAACTAACTCAATGCAGGAAGATAAAAATAATAACTGTCATTATGAACTTAAAGCAGCTAAAATTTTACCTTTTAATACATTTAGTCAAAATAAAGACAAACTTATCAAAACAGGAAATAACATAAGATAAAAATTTCTATTAATTTTGCTTGTGTTTGGTTAATAATGAACATAAAGTCAAATATCCCTTTAATACAGATTTCTTTCTGTATGTTATTATTACATTCTATTAATATCTTTTAAGTTCTTTGTAGATTGGTAAACATTAAATACAGTTTAAAGTATATGTAATTTCCAGAATAACTTCTCAAAAATTCCTGTATGGTAATTTACGGTATTAATTCTATATTACAAAAAATATCATTTTGGTACAATAACATTTACTTTTATTTGTAATTTTGCATTAATCAATGTTTCACCTTTTCAAGGATGTCAAAAAATTGTTGTGAGGAGTTAAATCTCTAAAAGATACTGGTTGGCCTGATGGTGTTAAAGCACATTCAAAATCTGTGAAAAAAAAAGTGAATAAGTAATGTGAAAACCAAAACAAAATCTATTTAAAATAAAGATAGAAAAGTCAAGAGTTACATGCACAAAAAAGAAGTTGAGTTTCACACTCCAGGAAATGTGTAATACATCCTTAGTGAAAGAAGTTGAGTTTCACACTCCAGGAAATGTTTAATACATCCTTAGTGAAAGAAGTTGAGTTTCACACTCCGGGAAATGTGTAATACATCCTTAGTGAAAACAGTTGAGTTTCACACTCCGGGAAATGTGTAATACATCCTTAGTGAAAACAGTTGAGTTTCACACTTCAGGAAATATGTAATACATCCTTAATGAAAGAAGTTGAGTTTCACACTCCAGGAAATGTGTAATACATCCTTAGTGAAAACAGTTGAAAAGAGATTGAAGAAAAAATAAAATATATTAACAAGAATATCAACTTTTTCTCAGTTGTTGCAGGTTTACTCAGCATGCTGTGGTACAGGGCACTTCAGCAGGGATTTCTTGTACAATGGTTAGTTAAGGCACACTAACTGGAGGTTTGGAATATATACTGCAGTGTGTGATTTTATGTCTCTCTCTCTCTCTGAACTCTTTTTAAGTTTGTCAACAAGAAAGAGGCAATAAACAAAATGTACAGTGTAACAAACTTTATTTACAAAACACAATGAAAGGAAAGTTTAATTGTTTACCAGAGCAACTCTCTAAATCCAAATTGAAATGAAAGGAAAACAAAAAAAATTTTGAAAGTTTACATATTAACTAAGAGTGTAGCTAGCACGTGGTACCATACCACAATGCTTTAAAACCCTTTTTTTTTTCAACAATGAAACCAATACCAGTCAGTCTAGCTTGAAATAAAATTTCCTGCTACTGGTAAAACATAAAGCTAGCATGCATACGCATACATAGATATATACATACATATATATATGTTATGTCAAACACATTTATTCTCTAAGAAAATAGTTTCCTTGAATAAATTGAGAGATGGAGGGTTCAATATTTCATGCAATTTTTGCTTCTAATATTTCAAATGCGGTTTATGCAATTCTCCAGCTTACTTTTAAAGTGAATCTCTCGTGTATAACTTATGCCCCGTGTTACAAAAATAAGCCACAACTAAACTCTCTTACAACACAGAATACAGATTTGAATATGGCCAGTACAGAATTTTGGATTATATCCAATAAAGTTAGAATTCTCCTTAAATCTGTAATACATTGTTATACGAGTAAAAATACATTTTGTCCTGAAAAAAGAATTAGCATGAAGCTTCAAAGTTGTTTAAAAACATTAAAAAAATTGTGAGAAGTCCATAAAAATGATGAGAACAATCTGACAATTTTTTTGATATATAAGGTGTTTTTTTTTCCTTAAAGGGCTAACTTTGTTTACAAACCCTATTTTACAGGCATTAAAATCGAATTAAATCTATTCATACCTATGTCATAAAAATATGGTGTTGTTTGATTGGTTCTATAAAATTCTTGGCCTCCAAGGACATCTGGAAGAACTTTTAACACATTATCTCTCCTCTCTGTTGTAATCTTAGGACCTACATTTTGAGAAACCACAAGAAGTTATGAAGATTTTCAAAAATGCAATAACCTAACATATAGGAGCAAATGATTAATGTTCTATTTTAAATTTTGTATATATATATATAAAATACTTTTGTGAGCTGAAATGTAAAAGAGAGTAAAAAAAAAGGGCAATGCCAACATCATCAGCAATAGATATGGTGAATATAGTGTAATTGGAATACTATTATTATACATTCTTCTAATTCTTGAAAATCCATAAGGGACTAGATAAAAAATGTAATATTTAAAAATATAATAGGCCTAATACTAATGTTTAATGTGTTTTCTAATGAAAAATTAAACACTAATTTCCAAAGAATATAATACTCTGATTTGTGTGTTCCCTTTCTAACTGAGATAAACATTGGCTGGTGGATGACAGCCAGTGCCAGAAGGATGATGTATCTGTACACATTATTAGGTTTCTATCTATTTACAATGAAATAAATATAATTACCTTCCAAACATTTTAAATGTTTAATATCTGTTTTATATCTAGCATTTTAAAAATTCTCATTAAAATACAAAACTCCACATTATGAGAATATGACAGCATTATATTATTATGTACTGTGAATCCAACAACTGGTTGACATGTTGTGTTATACATATATCATATACACAGTACTTCCATAAGGTTCCATACATATTTGTCTCATTATTTTGATAATACTATTTGTGAAGGAATAAGAAGGTTTAAGTTCACCTTTAATGATGCTCAATTCCTGACAGAAGTGTTCATGAAACCAAGGAATGTCTAATTCAGGACACTCTAATGCTACAATACGATTCAAGATTTCCAGCTGTTCATGTAGTCTATATTTCAAGCGTGGGTGATCTATGTTAAAAATAAAAAACAAAAGCATTATAACAGACTTTTTACAATTATTTGTTGTATGCAATGAATATATGTTTATCTTTTAACAAACAGACATCAAGCAAATAGTCCTCGAGTTGCTCTACAAGAAATTCCACAAACAACTTTTCCAAACTTAAATCACATCCAAGCAGACCACATTTCTTTTTAAACCATCAAAGCATCTAGTGTAGAATTACAATTAAAAATATCAAGTTCCAAAATTATCAGCCTATTTTTATGGGTTGAATGGCAAACCCACATTATATACAAACCTTAAATTTTAATTTGTGTCTTTTTTTCTTTTTTTTTATCTATTTTTTTTATTAAAATAAGTGTAATATTAGCCTTATTTGTTTTTGCTAATGGTTAACCTGTACATTTATTATGAAATTTAGTCAATTTTGTAATACCCACTACTTAAAATGTTATCTTTTCTATATAGCAGTATAATAATGAAGTCCCAAGTAAGGTTTTTATATCTTTTTACAGTCATTAAACATATATCAGAATCTTCAACGTGATTATGGTTCAAAGCACTGTTAACAGTATAGGCATGAGCAAAAAGTTTTTGTTTCAATAATGATTGTGCAATGGAATGACATGAAACAACTGATGCTTTGAAACAAAAAATTGTTGAAAGTTTTCCTAAGGTCACTCCAACATGTTAAGGAAAATGTCACATCTCACATGGATATGCATCATCCTATGTCATGAAGATAAAAGCCAACAGATGGACATTGTGGATTATTAATTGAACCTTTTGTTCAATATGCAATAAATTCATTTTTTCCCGTACACTATCTTTATTTTGGGGGATGCTTAGACTTTTTTCCCACCCTGTATATCCAATGTTGAATAAAGCAATTTTGTACCATTTTTTCTGTCTATAGATATGGGCACATATCTGAGGGTGTTACCTTGAAAATTATATGCCAATTTTGTGTTACTTCTGTAATGGGAGAGATTCTTGGAAGTCTGATAAAATTATATTTACATAAAAACATTTAGTGATATCGCATATCACTAAATGAAAACCAATAATAATTCACCAAAGAAAAACCTTGCCTTACTAATCTATCATCTTTCATCAAAGATGTTACTTGTTAACTGAACATTGGGAAGTGTGTGGACTTGGATTTCTAACCAGCTTTTGATGAGGTTCTACACAAAATATTAGCTATGAAAATCACACTGGTAGGGGTTGTGGAAAGACTAGTTAGTTGGATTGTAGAATGGATGTATGGAATAAAACAGAAGATTATTATTAATGGAGTCCATTCGAACTAGTAATACCTAATGGAGTGCTTCAGGGGTCAGTGATTGGATTTTTTTTCTTATTTACACTGATGATACTGATATGGGCATAATTAGTAAATTATGCTGCTAAATGTGATGACTTTAAACTCTTGGGTATTTTTAGCTATACTGATATTATAAGATGATTTGTATTAATTCATAAGTTGGGTATGTAGTTGGTGAAGTATCTTGAATTACAATAAGCACAAGATAAAACCTTTGGGTTATCATAATTTGGAAAACACATTTAATATAGATTTGAACATTCAATAGCATGATTGAAGAAAATGATCTTCGACATAGAAGCCGTTGAAACAGAAGTCTGTTACCAGTAGTGAAGCTAATAGAAGTTTAGGATCTATTTATAGACACACTGATCAAATGACAATAGAGGTATATACATAATTCTTCTATACAAGTCACTTGTTAGGCCTAATTTGTAATACTAATTTAAGAAAAGATATTGACTTGTTGGAGATGGTTCAGAGAAGAATACTAGGCTGATTCTGGGGATTGAAGGATTATCTTACAGAGATTGATAAAATCTCTTAACTTCTCTTTTGATAAAAATAAAAAGGCAAGAGATGATCTTACTGAAGTTTGCAAGATTATTCATGGGACTGATAGAATAAAAGCCCTATACTATGTTCTGAAGATAACAGGATAAGAGCACACAAGTTTATGATCTGACGGAATAAACAGGCTAGGTTTTATTTATTTTTTTGTAATCAGTGATTGGCTTAAAGAATGAGTTATTGTTGACTGTAGTGGAGCCCAAAACTTTACAGGAGTTTAAGACAAAGTAGATGTACAAGAACAGACTTGAAGGATCAAATAGTCTTTTGGTGTTCATATATATGTACCATTTGATCAAGTATAAGTCACTGATATACAGCATAGCATATCAATATTTCCACTGAAACTTTTAAACTGTCTTTAGTAGTAGAAAATAGTCAATGTGAAAATAACCAGAAATTTACCTTCAATTCTACTGTTTTTGAATTCTAAGTCTGTATTTTGTTCCCTACTTCTACATTTTTTTTTTTTCACTTATGGGGATTTTACACTGTTACAAGTAAGGTAAGTTACACTACTGATTTAAACTCCACATTTTCAGAAAACATATTTGAAAAAGATAAAAGGCTTTTAGAAAGTTTACCTTTAAACTCTAAATTATGCCAAAACAGTCTGCAAGTTTAATACAATTTCCAGAACACATCTTTTCCAGATTTCCACATTCAAAGTAAATCACTTTATGACTCCCACAACTGAAGCTTTTGTTCCAGAAACTACATGGGCTAACAAAACTGTTCGTTTATTATTAAGCACAAACCTACACAATGGTCTATCTGTGCTGTGCCCACCACAGGTATTGAAACCAGTTTTTAGCATTATAAACCTTCAGACTTACCACTGAGCCACTAAAACTGTCTAAATTATTTTGAAAAAGATAAATGTTCTCAATAGTGTCAGTCCTTAACAGTATCTCAGAAACAAAACATGAAAATAAACAGAATTTATCAAAATTTCTTATCAACCTTAAATCCCACTAATGATATCATATTTGGTAAATTAGATTCTCTATTAGTAACAACTTCATAAAACACCCATGTTCTTCTACTCCACATTAAAAGTTATCATTTGAATATCTTACCATTAATTTTCTTACCTCTCCTTTTAGATTTAACAAAACCACTCATGTACAAACAGTTTGATCACAACAAGTGTTTTCAGTTCATTTGATGACACATGTACATGTAAACATTTTTCCCAATTTAGGTTATCCATCCAATATTTTCCACATCATATCTTGCAAGTTCACATGAAAGGGTTCCTCTGTAGGTAACTCATTCAAATTATCCTTTAAATCTTACATACAAATATTCAGCATCAAGAAAATTGTAATTACTAGCAGTCCGAAATTTTTTTTTATGGATTTTTGTTTGTGGTGCTATTCAATAGATGGTGCAACATTATATTTATTATTTTGGACACTTTATTGGTAATACATGTATTTGCTACATCCATTACAGTAACATTACATTACAGTAGCATGAGTATAAATTAGCCGGTTGGCATCTTTTATGGAATAATTTATAACAAGCAACATATAGATAAGTAGGTAACCATTAAACAGTTGCCCTAGTCATCAAATAAATAAAATTGTGCACACGTAGATAAAAAGATATTTTAGATAAATAATTAAAACATTTTAATATTAAATATTTCTAGTACAAAAACATTTTTATATCCAATTTCACTTTTATATATACTTAATATATCTATTTATTTATTTAAATAGTAATATTACTTACTTTCACAGAAGTTATCTAGCCTTCTCAGGAAATCCATAGAAAATATTTTCTTGATAATTTCTTTTGGAAAGATCTCTAACACTGCAAGGCTATATACAATACCTAATACTTCAACTAAATTTAAAGTGCTACTAATTTCCAACATCTTTAGACATTCTTCAGCAAGCAAACAACTCTTCTCTGAATTGAAGTTAAAGAAGGCACATGTTTGAAGCATAAAAGAAATCATTTCTAAACTCTGGTTTTTCAGACAAAACTGAGCAAGATGTTCCAATACATCTGGAATAAAAAGTTTCAGCCTTGTAAGTATTAAAAGTACTGAATTGAAACTATTATCATCTACTGTAGATATAAGACCCTCAAAAGCTCTTGTGATTTCAGCATATTCAAATCTGTAGCCAAAATTTGATTTTACAAAGAGAACTTTTATCAACATGCATAAGATATTTATGTTTGGGACTTCTGACAATTGTTGAAGCACACACTGTTGAAGGGACTTGTATATATATAAATTCTGTCTATATCTGTTGGAAGGCACAACCACAGTCTTGAAGTTCAATGTCCTAGCTATTGAAATTACATCAGTGAAGGCAAACTGTGATAGCATATTGGAGACAGCACTCATTAATACAGTTGGAAGTTCTCTCTTTTGGCTCAAGCAAGCTAGCATATACTTAAAGAAAACAGCTAGATGACTTGGCTGGTAAGTTATTTGGTTTGACTGTATCTGTTTCAATAAAAACTGAGATAGCTCTGAATGAAAGACTGGATTCTGGTAACGAGCTTTTGAATAAAAACTTAGAACATTCAGTAGGCAAGAAATTGCATTCAGAAGATCTGGAAGTTTTGTTAAGACTCTATCACTAAATTTGTCCAAAACCTGCTGATTCTCACAGTGTATCATGAACTGGCTCTGTGCACAATGCTTTAGAAGAATAACATCAAAATCCTGAACATGTAGCATAAGTAACTCTTCAATTTCTGTCCTAAGTTCTTCATTCCATCCACATAGGTCAAAAAGATTTAAAAGACTTACTAAATCGCTTGATCTTAATAATCCTTGCTTAAGTCTTTCTAATCCAGTTTTCCTTATTACTCTTAATAAATTATCATCTTGGAATCTTGCAACTCTTAGGAATCTTAAAACTGTCCCTAACTGCCATGTATACAAGTTTTCACTATTGTCTGAAAGTATATCACAAGTAACTTTCAGAAAATTTTGATCAGGTACAGAAACAAATCTAGTAATTACTTCCAAGAAAAGAAGAATGGTTGAAGGATTAAGGTTAGAGTTAGATTTTAAAGCTGAGGTCACTACTATTCCAGAAATGCATTTTAACAATTTCTCTGAACAGAAATAACCAATACTGTTTACTACAATTGCAAGGTGCTCCAAGTTTATGGAACTTATGGGTGTTTCCTCCAAAATTTGGGTCAACCTATTGCAAACTTTACTATAAACTGGAAAACCATTACGACGAAGAAAGGTTCCAATCTCGGCAAATCTCACAAGGTTTTCTAAATCAAAATTACTTGATCGTAGCAGACACTCGTTAACAAGACACATGACAGTCCGATTTCCATGAGAAGGATGCAAAAAAAATAATGAACGTGTTACTGAAGTTAAATCAGAATCAGACAACGTGTGAATTAAATCTTCCAGAAGTCTACATAATTCATTAAATTCTGGGCAACAAAGAATAGATGCAAACATTTCTTTGGCTTCATAATTTATATCTGACTGAATCCAGAGAAGTTTATCATTATTATAGTAAGCCCACGAATACATTTTAAGCTGTTTTAAATAAAGATGGCCTAATGTTTCCAAACAAGCAACAAAATCTTCAACTATAAGTTTCTCTTTTGTACTTGAAAACAAAACTAACACTTGATCAACAGACTTACAGTTTCTAAACTGTTTACCTAGTTTAGAATTCCTTGATGATTCCATTTTGATGTTGAGAGCTTTATTTGCATCATTTTGATAACCATTAAAATTATATTGTAGAACTTCAGTAGGCTCCCCCAAACTATTGGTTACTTTACCTAGTACATTAAATGAACAAGAACTGTAACTAACAATATTTCCATATTGTTTTAGAAAATACATTTTTTGTTCAGATGAATTAATCATGTGTTTTGACCAAGTTGAATATCGATGCATATTTTTGCATTTAGTTAATGTATACAAAGGCTGATTACATTTTTTTGCATATTCACAAGTCCACACTCTTGATAATAATCTATACTGAAAATTAGTTTGAAACAGCATTTCATTTGCAAAATAATATTATTCATACATAAATATTCAAGACAAGTGAAAGAGTCAATGTTTTCAAAACAGATATATCTTCATATGCATATCACAAAATGTTCATATACACCAAGTTATCTTTAAATAATCCAACCATGTTTTTTACATGAATCTTGAGAAAGGTACAGTTGTGTCTATACATTGTCATCAGAATCATTATATCTACAGTTCCATCTTCAAGGTCCATTTAAAGTAACTGTGAAAGAAAGCACAAAGTAGGCTTGATCAGTAACTCAACATAAACCGGAAACACAAGTTCTTAGATTGAAATACCTGAACGATTTTGGAAAACATACTTAAAATCACTACCTTGTTCTTCAATAAGACATTTGAGAAAGAAGAAAGCATTTATAAGCTAAAAGGCAACAAGAAATTCATAGTTAGAAAAAAATAATTTTACACATATAAACATACTCAACAACATCAGCATACATGCATTTTGGTATATGTACCCATATTTTCTAAAAAGTTAGTTTGATTCCAAAATTAGATTATGTTCAAGAATTGGTCGTAACCCATCATAAAATATCAGTTTTCTAATGGTATTTATGTACAAGGTTTAAAAGTGAGAAAAATATTCAGTTAATCTTTGTTGTTGTTTTTTTTAAAATATCTCTAATGTTTTCATCTTTGATGGAGAGGTAAATAGTTTTCCAAAAAAAAAACCCACAGATTTCCCCATCCTTGAAATCAAGACTTCTAAAAGTTTTACCATGTCTGATTGGTTGACAACTAAAGCGTGGCAATACAGTGATACAATACAAGTATCATATCATGAAACCAGGATACGATTGTATCAATACATTTATTGCATCTCCCTCTAGTAGTCGATACGCACAACTATTGACAACAGTTCCATAGTGGTTCAGATTCAGTAACATAACTCATACAATTTCTTTTTCCCTGTTTTTCTATTCCTTTTCTTTTGTTCTTTTCCTTCTTAATTTTTGCCCTTTTCCTCTTTTTCTTTTACCTGAAATTTTTTACGAATTTCCAAAAACTCAATCATTCATAAAAACTTTTGGAAACTTATTAGAAAGAGCATCTAGTACTGTTCTCATATGTGAACGAGAACACCAAATACATTTAAAATGTTTTTAAGTAAAAGAATTGTAATATCCAAGGCAACAAGAAATTCATAGTTAGAAAAAAATAATTTTACGCATATAAACATACTCAACAACATCAGCATACATGCATTTTGGTATATGCAAAAAAACCACAGATTTCCCCATCCTTGAAATCAAGACTTCTAAAAGTTTTACCATGTCTGATTGGTTGACAACTAAAGCGTGACAATACATTGATACAATACAATACATGAACTCAGATGTTGTGGAGAGAAAAAGGATGTGATTTCTGGTATTTTAAATCATTTAGTAGTGTCAGCTATGATTAAAAGAACTATAAATTTCTTAAATCTATTTATAAAAAATCATACTTTTATTATTTTCAAAAGATAAGAAAATACAAGTGTTTGCAGTTACATAATAAAAATATAGCATATGTATTACAGTTCCACAGTATACTGTCATCTATTATATTAGATAAGACTGGATGGAATTCAGTTGCTCAATTTCTATTATATTTAGTATTTAAATTAACTGCATGATCCTGCAGTAAGAACATTTTCTATAAAAATTTTGGGAAGTTTTTTAAGAATACTGTATTTTCATGGAGGTACATTTTACCGATTCTACTACTCGTGGAACCTATTCAAAACTGGACATCATACTCTTCATGAGCAAGATATTATAATACATTTTTGATGTAATTATCAGGGCTGTACCAATGTTTGATGGTATCCTGTGAGACATAAATTTGACACTCCCCAACCCAACCCATTAGTTTGCTTCGTTAGTCAAATGGCCAAATAGTACCCCTCCTTAGAATTAGCACCCTGTGCAAACATACCACTTGCACTACCCACAATATGGCCCTGGTAATTGCCTCCCCCCCCCCCAATAAAAAAGTAAATTCAAATTAAATCACATTTGCTCTGTTTGTAATCTAACATTATCCTGGAAATTAAATGCAGCAAGGTACTAGATTACTAGAGATTATATAGTTCAAGGTACTAGATTACTAGAGATTATATAGTTCAAGGTACTAGATTACTAGAGATTATATAGTTCAAGGTACTAGATTACTAGAGATTATATAGTTCAAGGTACTAGATTACTAGAGATTATATAGTTCAAGGTACTAGATTACTAGAGATTATATAGTTCAAGGTACTAGATTACTAGAGATTATATAGGAGTGTAGATGTCTTGATATGTTTTGTCAGCACACAATTTCTTCACATTCATATTTCAATATCCAATTTATTAGTTTCAGAAGTCAGAGTTATTTCTAAATTTTATTGAATATAAGACCATTTTCTATAATGGAAAAGACCAGAGAGATATTTAATCAGTTTAATTGTCATGAACTTTACAATATCACCATAAAAACCACTGATAACAAAATGGCTGAACTGGGGGTTGAGTGGGCTCTAAAGCTGGCTTGTGATATAAATCTGTCACTTAACATGATGAACTGTAAGGAATATCTTGGTCCTACAAGACTGTCCCTGCATACACACACACCCCACGAAAAAATAAACAAATTTAATCCATTCTATATTTTCAGGAAATAATCTATACTCCTTTTTAAACTTTCATGTGGTGCCACCTTCCACTACTCAAAAAGTAACTCATTTCATCATTCTGTTAGAAGAAAAAACTGTTGTAACTGGGGCCTAGCCCATCTTTTTCAAATCTTAGAATTGTGTCCTTTCATCTTAATGTCTTCAGGATACATCATATACTTTATGTTATAGAAATGAGAGGCCCTTATCATAATGATTCCCTGTATAATCTTGTTAACCTCAAATTAAGATCATCTCTTACCCTTCTTTTCTCTATAGAAAAACAAATTAAGAGATCTTAACCTATTTCATAACATGACGCTTCCTTCCTGGAATCATCTTAGGAGTCCTCTTCTGAACTCTCTCCGGTAACGGGTAAGTAAATATCCTCTTAAGACAAGAACTGCACACGATATTCCAGGTAACACCTAATTAGCAGTTTCTACCAATACAAAGAAGTACCGTTTTTAATTTATAATCAGTATTTATCAATAAATAAATCCTAAAATTTTAAATAGTTTTACTAGTAGTACTGCAATACTAACAATTGCATTGCATCAGTGGTTTGAATGACTTAACGTATTATATCAGTTACTGAATTAGGACGTTGAGTTCCCATCTATATTATACACGTGACCCAAATTATGAAAACCAAAATGAATTAACTCACATTTACTATACAATATAATTAAAAGCCAATTTGGCAACTACAGTATATCTTTATGTCCAACTTACCAACTGATCTAAAACATTCAGTAGCACCTAAACATCCTCAGTACAATTACTGAATTAGAAATATATACAGTTTAATATTAGCTCTTGGCTTTACTAATTAAGACTATAAATATCATTAATGTAAATGGAAAAAATAAAGTCCAAAATATGAACTGAACTGGAACTCATTATACTATTTATAGGGTTATACAAGTCTTGAGACATCAGGATGTTGTGCAGGGACAAACTTAATGGTTCACGGTTGTGAATATGCAAGACTTGCGCCAGGTTTTCTGTAACACTGGTGCAGAAACTTATGAGGTCCATTAAATCTTTGTTCAGATTTACTGCGAATATAAAAAGGACAACATATTGTGAAAAATTAATGCAGAAATGATCAAAAACACCAATTCAACGATACATTAAAACTACGAATATTCAAAGTTTTTTGGGGGGCCCTAACACACCCCCACTTCCAGCATTTTATGTATGGTATTGTTGCGTC